TGGTCCAGCACTTCTGTGTTCTCAAATAATATGCTGTGTCCAGGTTGGTTCATCTGGTGCTCTGCTATGGCTTATTTCTCTGGTTGGAGTAGTTTGCAGTACCCTGCAGCTGTGGACAAGTCTACATAGGGACCACCAAACGCAGCGCCCAGACACGCATCAAGGAACATGAAAGGCACTGCAAACTACTGCAACCAGAGAAACCAGAAATCAGCCATAGCAGAGCACATGATATCACCAAAGTTGGATACCATTTTATCAGCCCTGGCTTCAGGACCTTTAGTTTGAGAAATTCAGCTCCAAGAAGAGATTTTGGGTAGATTTCAAACTGACCTGCTCTTCAAGCCCTTAGCTATTTAGACCCACAGGACACATCTTGAGAGAGAGAAAAGAACAAGGACAGGGAAGTTGAGAGCTATTAATTTAAGCTAAAAGATCCACTATATATATGTAAGTCCCAGGAAGAGAAATCTCCTGACTGCAGGAGAAGCTGCAGACATCAACTTTCAAACTCTGGAAGGCACATTAACAATGACAGAGTGCTTAACTACATAAAAGCAGATGCTGGTGGTTCAAGACTCACTAGACCTTCCCCATTATTTATATATCCAGTGCCTTTGGAAATGAGGTTGCTGAGTAATCCAATGGCAAGCTTATTGGTCCATGCCTATAATAAAGAGAGTGCAAAATTAATCCCCACGCCGTGCCGGCCAGGGATGGCATTTCTCAGCTCCCATCACGTTGGTGACAGAGGGTGCTCAGCTTTGCTTGATGGGGCTGGCAGCAGAGTATGAAATACATTTCTAGAATTAGTTTCATGACTCATAGCTTATGCTTTCGCTGCACACAGAGTGCTGGTGTTGATTGGCAGCATAAACAGGGATGGCAGGAGTGAACTAGAGCCTTTGCACGGTGCCACCGGAGTCTGCTTAGCTTCTAAAATGTGCCAGAGTTGAGGAAGAAGAGTGCTTCCATTTCAGACCATCAATGTCTCCTGGAAATGCTTTAGGAAAACTTGGCTTCTTTGCCTTCTGACATGGTTTTCCTGGACATTTTAGCTTCTCTTTGACTTCCTGTGAATTCCAATAGGCACTTGCAAAAGAAAAGTTCTCTGGTCTCTCATAAGAGATTCAGAAGGGCTCTTCTGTTTCTTGTTCCCAAAAGGAGCTCCCGAGAAATCTTAGGATTCATTCCCTTGTAATCTTGTTTGATTATCTATGCTGGCTTCATGACTTTCTTCCAATTCATCAAATGTTAGGCCTGTTTCTGGGTATACTTGAAATACTGATTTAAAAAACAGCATCAATTTTCTCCTTTCAGCTCCAGTTTTTGAGATACACAACATAGGTGAGATACAAGTCATCATCTGCTCACCCATAAAAATTCATGATAAGTCCACCTAAGATACTAGAGCTGATGAGATCTACCCAATGTGATTTTCTGAATCTGTGTCTCCAATAACCATGGAAACAGGCCTAAAAACCAAGAATTTCTTTAGTTGGGTTGTGATACTATTTCTTCTATTCCTTACTCTCATATAGTAGGGCAAGATCCTATGTTGAAAAGATGGAACAAAACCTGACACTAAGGGAGCTATGCATCTAAATATCCAAGCAAATATACACTCACAGCTCAATATGCAGTTGAGTACAATATGTATTAGACAACCAGGGACATTAGACCTGCACAGTCATGTGTGATACAATGGCACCATATGCTCAAGTCTCCCTTTCAAACCTGAATGGAATAGGGTTATCCCACAGTGGGCACAAAAGTTCAATGTACAAAAAATATCCCCTATTTCTATATGGTAACCACTTATCAAGAACATATAATACGTATATCAAAGACACTAACAGAATTCTAGTAATGATAGAATAGAACCTTCCTTTAGACACATCAGCTAGAAATTTGGTCTTTAAGCTGCCACAAAGCTTCATTGTTATGCCACAAGGCTGGGCAAAATGTAAGCCACAGCCCGTATGCACTTTTTGTGATTCTTGGGGTTCCTTTTCTTTATAAAATTGTATCTATTTATCAATTTTGTTTTTCTTCAAATATCCACCCAAATGCCCTCCAGGAAACCTAAAGGGAGTTTTCTCCACATTTTAATGTCCCATGAGCAGTCCAAGGGTCACACTAGGATTTTTGGTAATAATAATAACAATAATAATAATAATTCATTGCAATGACCCCACTGTCAGTAATTCTACAGAAAACAAACTTAGCTCCCAAACAGCAAGAAATTCACCAAAGATTTCCCACTTGCTGTACATGGATGATCTAAAGCTTTACAGAAAATCAGAAACAGAAATCCAGTCACTGACCAACACAGTCAGAATCTTCAGCACTGACATCAGTATGGAGTTTGGCCTAGACAAATGTGGCATTAAAGAAAGGGAAAAAAATTAATAGTGAGGACATAGAGATGCCAAACAGACAAACCATAAAATGTAATCAGCCTGAAGCCTATAAATATCCGGACATACTACAATTGGATAATATCAAGCATGGGCATGTGAAAAATGTGGTCAGCAAAGAGTATATCCAAAGAGTCAGAAAGGTTTTGAAGAGCAAATGAAATGGCAGAAATACGATCAAGGCTATCAACACCTGAGCCATCCCTTTCATTAGATACATTGGTGGAATTGTGAACTGAACACAAGCAGAGTTGGATGCTCTGGGCAGAAAAACAAGAAAACTGATGACAATCCGCTACTCATTACACCCGTGTACTGATGTCGACAGACTTTACCTGCTCAGAAAATCAGGAGGCAGAGGGCTTTTGCAAGTGAAACAAAGGGTAGAAGAAGAGAAACACACACTGGCAGATTATGTGAAAGGCAATCAAGAACCAACATTGAGGGAAGTCAATTGTAGTAAACTGCTTCAAGTGCAAAACACAAAGAGTGAATAAAAACACAATTCAGAGCAGAAAAGAAAACTGGTGAAAGAAGGCTCTCCATGGACAGTTCCTGGGAAAAATTGAGAGCAAAGTTGACAAAGGAAAAAACATGGCTGTGGCTCACAAATGGAACTTTGAAAAAGGAGACAGAGGGCCTGATTCTGGCAGCCCAAGAACAAGCCATTAGAACAAATGCCATCAAAGCTAGAATTGAAAAGTTGATGACAGATCCCAAATGTAGACTCCGCAAGGAAGCAGATGAAACAATAGATCACATCCTCAGCTGCTGCAAGAAGATCGTGCAGACAGACTACAAAGAGAGGCATAACACCATTGCTCAGATGATTCATTGGAACTTGTGCCACAAAGACCATCTGCCTGCAACAAAGAACTGGTGGGATCACAAGATGGCAAAATGAAAATGTCAAACTACTCTGGGACTTCCGAATTTAGACTGACGGAGGTTTGGAGCACAATACTACTGACCTCACAATCGTGTTAAAAAACAAAGTATGAATCGTTGAAGTTGCAATCTCAGGTGACAGCAGGATTGAAGAGAAACAACTGGAAAAGCTGACACGATATGAAGATTTAAAGATCAAACTGCAAAGACTCTGGCACAACCCAGTAAAGGTGGTCCCAGTGGTGATCGGCACACTGGGTGCAGTCCCTAAAGACCTTGGCCTGCACTAAAACACAATCGGCGCTGACAAAATTACCATCTGCCAGCTGCAGAAGGCTACCTTACTGGGATCTTCACACATTATTCACCTATACATCACACAGTCCTTGACACTTGAGAAGTGTCCGACGTGTGATCCAATACAACAGCCAGCAGAGTGATCTTGTCTGCTGTGGATTCATCTTGTTGTGTGTCAAATAATAATAATAATAATAATAATAATAATAATAATCATCATCATCATCATCATCATCCAATAACTTTGCTCCCAAATCTCTTTCATGTTAGATGACATGATCACATCGGCCGCGCCAATCCCTGAGGAATACGAGCATTTTATTGAAATCGTGAAAACCTGCTCACGGGCCTCCATACCGAGAGGCAGCAGAACCAACTACCTTCAGGGCATTACTCCAGAAACAGCTGCCTTGTTGGAAAACTATTACAGGCTCCACAACGAAGACCCATTTAGTGAACAGACTCTTCAGGCAGCGCAATAGTATGATATACTGGTAGTATATTATATATATTGTAGAATAATAATAATATAGAAAAATATAACAATTGTATATTATATATTACATGGAATATCTATATAAATAAAAATGTAAGAAAACCTATTCATTTTAGAGAACGGGGAATAATTTGGAATAAGAAATTAAAATATACATATGTGATGAATTTAAGAGCTCCAATTAGTTGACAGCCAGGTTGCTCACCAGAGTGGCATACAGAGAGCATACAACCCCTCTGCTACACCAGCTGCACTGGCTCCCAATCTGCTACCGAGCACAATTCAAACTGCTGGTCTTAACCTTTAAAGTACTGAATGGTTCCGGCCCAGATTACCTGTCCAAACGTATCTCCTGTTATGAACCATCACGAAGTTTAAGATCATTCAGGGAGGCCCTGCTCTTGAAACCACCATCATTGCAAATGCAACTGGAGGGACAAGAGACCAGGCCTTCTCAGTTGTGGCTCCTTGACTATGGAACTCTCTCCCCAGTGACATCAGATTCCCCCCCCCTTCAGAAATAAACTCAAAACTTATGGGACCAAGTAGAGGCAGTAATTGAGAATAAGACTCAAGTGATAGGAATGACAATGGACTCACCTGGACTTGGATTTTAAACCTGTGTGATTTTAAACAAATGCCTTATTAATGTAATGTTTAATGAATTGTTTTAAATGTATTTTTATGAATGTGGATGGCACTGAATGAGTGCTTGTTGTGAGGCTGCCCTGAGTTCCCCCTCAGGAGGTGAGAAGGATGGGGTACAAATGTACGAAAGAAATAAATATAATGATCTACTGTTTTATTATTGTATACTTGTATATTTGAAGTGATCATGTTTTCATTTTGGACCGTTTTGAGTCTCCATATGGAGAGATAAAGTGGGATATAAATAAATAAATAAAAATAAACTCGCGAGCTTCCATAATCATGGAGGCATGGCAGTTAAAGTGGTGTCAAAGTGCGCTAATTTTACAGTGCAGAAGCGCTTCGAGGCTAAACTACACTACATTAGTGGCTGAGGGGGAAAAAGGAAAGGGCCTGAGGCTGTTAGGAATTGTGGGCGTTGTAGTCGAAAAGGAAAGGGCCTGAGGCTGTTAGGAATTGTGGGTGTTGTAGTCCAAAAGGAAAGGGCCTGAGGCTGTTA